AGCAGGACCGCACGTGCAGGAAATGCGGCGCACGTGCGGCGATGTGCGGGGCAGCAGCTCAAAAACGTGATTTTTGAGTCATTTCTTAGATTTTCTTTTCCTCTCTTCCTCTTCCCTCTTCCATGTCCGAAACCCTAGCTCCCAAAACCTTGATTTCCTCCACTTTTCTCAACAAATCAACCATGGATCTTGCATCAAGGATGGAGAATAAGAGGAGATCACCACTTTCTACCAAATGGAATTTCGAAATTTTTAAGGCATGTTGGGGTTCTATTATGGGGTTTAGAGTATGGTTTATGGGTTATGGACCTAGGGTGCCTAATAAATAGGAAGATTTCAAATAAAAAGTAATGGGTTAAGAAGATTTAAAATTTTATTTGAAATCTGTAGATTTCTTAGAAACCCTAGGTTGATTTTTGATGATAATCCATGATTTGGCCCAAATTGATAGTTGAATCATGAAAGTGGTAAGTTGAATTAGATGTGTTCAAGTTTAATTGGAATTTGGTTAAGTTTGAAAATTATGTTTAAATTTTGCGATTGAACTTTGTTAAATGCATTGTAAATTATGTTTTAATAAAAGGGAAATTGGGGGAAAAGATTTATTGATAATGTGGATGATATAAATTCGATTATGGAATGTTGAAATGGAATTTAAGAATTCCTTTTGAGATATGTTGAATTGTGATGACTATGTGGGATGATATTAACTATGTTGATATTAATTTTGTGACCTAAAATGTGAAGTTTTCAAGAATGGGTTTAATCCCAAATCATTTTACTAAATATTTGTGGGCTTGCTTACTGAATGCTGAATGGGCCGGTACGCCAGCAAGAAAGGAAAGCCTGGCACGATCGACAATTACGATAAAAGATTGGTGTGGAGGGCTGTGTGGTTCTTCAATATGCAGACTATATTCAACCAGGAAAGTGGAAGACTAAGTGGCTAGGACCTTTCCAGGTTCAGTCTTTCTTCTTCATTTATTTCTATATGTCGATGTCGTTGCTTTTTACTCAACCACATCTTCCTCATTTGATTTGCCTTACAAACAAGGGGGGTTTGCGTTTGATTGTGAGTGATCCAGCAGGATAGGTGTGTCTTACATACAGAACGGACACTCCTGATCTGATGCTGAGTCCCAGTTTAGATCTCCATTTAAAAATGCTGTTTTTACATCCATTTGATGAATTTTTAAATCATGAATTGCAGCCACTGCTATCAACAGTCTGATGGATGTAACTTTAGTAACCAGAGAAAAAGTATCAAAGAAATCAAGATCAACTTGTTGCTTAAAACCTTTAGCGACAAGCCTCGCTTTATATTTATCTATAGTTCCATCCGGTTTAAGTTTTTTACGAAGGACCCATTTACATCCAATAGTTTTACAACCTGGAGGTAAATCTACTAACTTCCATGTTTTATTTGAAAGTAGTGAGTTTATCTCATCATTTACAGCCTCTCTCCAGAAAATAGCATTAGGTGATGATAAAGCTTCTTGCACCTCTTTCCAGAAAATAGCATATATTGTAAAGATAATAGTCAGGGCCAAAATCTTTTTCAACTCTAGCTTGTTTACTTCTTCTTTGTTGGATTTGAAATTTTTTTTTTCTTGAAAAACTTGAGAAGGAGTAGAAGAGCTAGGCATAGATAAAATATTTTCAGATATTATTTGACCCCCACTATTTCTAGATTTGAAAGGAAATTTATTTTCATGAAAAATAGCATCACCTGATTCAAAAATAATATTATTTTCCATATCAAAAAATCTATAAGCTGTACTATGCAACGCATACCCAAGAAAAGCACAAGTGGTAGCTCGTTCACCCAATTTAGATCGTTTAGGATCTGCAAGTCTTATAAAAGCTAAACAACCCCAAACCCTCAAATAACCTAAATTTGGTTTATGCCCTCGTCACAACTCATAAGGGACAATTTTAGTCTTTTTGTGTGGCACTCTATTTATCACATGGCAAGCTGTCAAAATAGCCTCACCCCAAAAATTTGAGGGAGTACCTGAATCAATAAGCATAGCATTCGTCAAGTCAATTAACGTTCTATTTTTTCTTTCAGCTACGCCATTTGATGAAGGTGAATATGGTGGAGTAGTCTCATGAATAATTCCCAATGACTGAACAAAAGAGTTGAATCCTAGAGATTCATACTCCCGGCCTCTATCACTTCTAATTCTTTTAATCTTTTTACCGAATTGATTTTCCACTTCAAGAAGGAATTCTTTAAATTTCTCAAAAGCATCACTTTTATTTTTTAATAAATATACGTTTGTATATTTTGAAAAATCATCAATAAAAGTGATAAAATATCGGTTACCACCCCGAGTTAAAATTCCTTCAAACTCACACAAATCAGTATGAAATAATTCTAGCAATTCGGTATTTTTTTCAACACTTTTATGAGGCCTCTTGGTAATTTTTGCTTTACTGCAAACTTCACATTTCTCAAAATTTTTTGTCACTTTAGGAATTAATTCTAAACTACTCATGATTCCCACATATTTACTATTTATATGACACAAGCGAGCATGCCATAAATTAATAGAAGACAACATGTAAACCGAATTAGTAGATGGTTTATTAATCTCAACATTCAATTTGAACATCTCATCACAAGCATAACCCTTACCCACAAAAATACCCTTCTTGGTAATCACATATTGATCAGATTCCATAGTTTGCTTAAAACCCAGCCTTATTCAACAAATAACTTGACATCAAATTCTTCCTCATGGATGGTGTATAAATCACATCTTTTAAAGTAAGCACACGTCCAGAGGTGAATTTTAGATCAGCCTCACCACTCCCAAGTATCTTGGTTTGACTAGAGTCACCAAGCATAATTGTTTTCTCATCACCAAAGGGAGTATACACCTTGAACCAAGTTTGATCATAACAAACATGTCTATTAGGACTAGAATCTGCCCACCAACCGTCCACATAATTAACCATGCAAATGTCTGTAATCATAGCCACAAATGGCTCCTCGATAATGTTAGCCTTTAGGGCAGGTGCACGTTTTCGGAATTTGCAAGTTCGAGCAATATGCCCACTTTTGCCACAGACAAAGCATGTAAAATTTTGTGGAGGTGATGGACCTTGGTTCTTATCTAGATTAATCCACTTATTGTGAGGTTTACCATAATTCTTCATATTCTTTTTATAAGGCTTCAAATAAGCATTCTTGGAATTATGACCTTTGGGTAAGTTATTATTTGCTGAAACAAAGTTTACCTTTGTGGTAGAATTGCCATTACCCGCTTGTGTTATTAATGCATCTTGGCCTCTAGCCTCCTCTTCTACTCGGATGCGAGTGATCAACGTCTCTAAGGAAGTCTCCTTTTGTTTGTGACGCATACTCTTTTGGAATTCTCTCCAGGATGGCGGTAGCTTGTCAACAAGTCCTGCAACTACCAAGTTGTCACCAATCTTGATGCCTTCAGATCTTACTTCTGCAACTATCATTTGGAAATCTTGTGCTTGTTCCACAATGGATTTTCCATCTACCATTTGGAAGCGGCAAAACCGGCTAGCTGCATACTTTTTTGCTCCTGCCTCTTCGGTATCATACTTAGTCTGTAAAGCTTTCCAAATTTTCTTTACGGAAGTGTAAGTGGTGTCATAGTAATCATAAAATTGATCAGCAAGGCAATTTAAGAGATAAAAGCGACATTTATACTCATCTGTATTGTAGGAAGCCACTTTTGCTTCATGTGCCTCATAGTCTTCATCATTCATCTCCTCGGTTGGGATTTTGTTCGGATTCTTTTCGGTAAGAACATATGCAACTTTCAAAAGGCTAAGGTAAAAAAGAACTTTTCCTTTCCACCTCTTAAAATGAACTCCTTTGAACTTGAAAGGTTTGTTGAGATCTTCAATTCCATCATTGGTTTTTTCTGGTACTTGTTCCATGTTTGATCTCCTTAAAATTGTTGGAGAAAATACCAGAAACTAAACTATATTATTGATAAATGATGCAAAGAAAATGAGATACAAATAGATCAGACTGAGGCACGGATATCTCGTTTTCTTTAAGGAGATCAAGCCCACTGCGGTAGGAAGAATCCAAATACCGATGCAGCAGTCACAACACTATGACTTGTCCCCTCCAGGATACAACAGCCCGACCACTTGTCGTATGGTTCAGGCCAGCTCTGCACAAGATGGTGAACCCAAAGCTCCACCAATAAAACACCCTTCTTTGCTAGTAATCTCTCTTGTATAGAAAATAGTTAATCTATATAGATAGAAAAGAGTAGACTATATATAGGCTATAAGGACCTTACAGTTGCACCAAAAATAATGACCATCAACCAAGTTCATGAATTCTATTTATCCTTCATTTATGACCAAGAGGTTACCAAAGTAATAAAACCCCATTTATGAAAAAGATAAACCAATAAATAAATATAAGATATTAAAATGGTCCAACAATTTCTTTTCTACTTATGTATGTACACATGCATGTATATAAATTGATTATTCTATTGACATCTTGGAAATTTTGAAATATGTCAAATTGATTTTCTTTTATAAAGAGAACTAATTGTACTTTCCTGCTACTTTTTTCTAACAAATTTTGTGGTTATCTTAGGTTCTAATTTGTATATATGTGTAAATGTGAGTGTTGATGGTGTGAAGATGTTATTGTGTTGTAGGGATGGGAAGAAGGCGAAGGCCTTGGGAAAGAGAAGCAAGGGATCAAAGGATATGTCAGAGTTAAGAACAAACAGGACATTGCAGTTTTTTTTTTTTTTTTTTTTTTGTTGCTCTTCGTTTCTCTGATTCTTTGTTTATTCATCAAATTCATGCTCTATTTTGTTGCATAGAACATAAAGTTTTTTTTATTATTTATTATTATTTATTATTTTAATTGTTTTCTGAATCAAAGAAGCTAATAAGCTTAACCTTGTTGTGGGATGAGTTTTTCATAAATAAGGAGTTCATGACATATAGAGCAGTTTGGCAATTCAATAGGTACTGGGACATAATTGTTGAAAATTACAACAGGTATTGGTGTAGATGAGGGCATTCGATACATCACAGTTTGACAGCATCCTCAAGAGATTGAAAGTGTAATTGTCCCATTTATCCTTTGAATTAGATTTAATAAGCTTTAAAAAAATTGTTCTTGCATTTTTTTGTTTCTCACTCTTCTTTTTATTTTTTCAGGAAGCTGCAGAAATCAAGGATGAAGGTACATCAAGATAAAATTGAATTTATATTACAGTTAATGTCATTATATGGTTTGATGAGGATCATCTTTGTAGGCATATTGTAGCTGTTGAAAAGGATGATGTTCAAGAGGTTGATACCGATGTCACCTTAGAGACTAATACAGTTGTCAAGTCTACATGGCCCCAAGGAAGGTCAATATGGTTGTGCACATCAATGCTAGATTGGTTTTGAGTTTTTTTTTTTCTTCTAATTTTTATAAATTTATTTATTTGTTTATTTTTGTTTCTTCCTTTAATAATCGCCAGGTATAAGAAAAGAGAGAGGGAAACTTGTCCATGCATATTCTTCTGAGGATCTTGGAGGAATACTTGTGAGCCACTAACCTTAGTAACTTAGGTCCCTGAGTTTTTTCGTATAGAGTTGATTGAAACAGGAATTGTGAGGTAGTTATTTTGTGGTGCCTCAATTTTAAGTGAAGAATTTATTATTTGGGTCACTGTATTGTCTGAAGGTGCCAAATTATTTTTAAAAAATGGAATTCTAAGATTTTTGAGTTCTTCCATCTGCCCTTATTTTCTTAATATGTTAATTGTATGGTGTAGACACCCCATTTTTGACCGTCCTCAAGACTCGGACGTCACCGTTTCAACACTCGGTGATTATCCATGTTTGTGTTCGTTTGGAGTTCCTGGAGGTCTCGGCTCACGCGCCTTGCCTCAGGATCTCCGAACGTGACTGTTTAGTGTCTGGTTTTACACCAAACACTTGTGTTTTGCCTTGGAGGGGCAAGGAATGCCTTGTGAGGCATTCCCACACATCACCGGCAGTGGCTAGAGGCCACCGGCTGGTTTTTGCTTCCATCGGCACTTTTTATTGCCGGTCGGCACTATTTGTTGCCGGTCAGCACTATTTAGTGCCGGTCGGCACTCCTTTTGGCCAAGATGGCATTTTTGGCCGGCCGACTACTGTGCATCTGCTTTTGCAGATATTTTAAGACAGCTGTCTTGCTTTTGCTCCCCTCCATACACGTGTATGGAGGGATCTCCCTCTTATGAAGCTTGTCTTGTAAGCTTTACAAGACAAAAAGCTTCTATATAGAGAGGGGCTCTCTCTTGTTGCTAAGGTTAGACACTTGAGATATTTTGGAGAGCTTAGACAGCCATTGTTAGGGTTTGAGTTCTAGGGTTAGGGTTGGATACGCATTATCTCTCTCTTTTTCCCTCTTGTGTGTGTTTTAGTGTGTTTAGTCCATACTATTGCACACAAGCACCTAGTGTTTCACCTTCACTTAGCTACTGAGGTTCTAAGGGACTGATTTTGAAGTTTTGGTGTTGGATTCAAGCCAAGGGAGGCCATTGGAGCACCATTGTTGAAGGGGTCATCAAGGGTAAGAAACTAACACCTTTATTCCCCATTTTTGCATTGATTTTCTACCTATCTTAGAGCTGTTTTCGTGCTTATTGTATAACACAAAAAAGTTCTTTTTTTAGGCCCTCTTGATTGTTTATTAAGAGTGTTTTGTGGTTTGAGAGTGTTTGACCCCTCTTAAGCCTTGAAAGGCCTCATTTTATGCTATTTTGTGCTAGTTTCGGGACTTTGGTGTTTGGGCCTCTTCACCACTGAAATCTTGAGGGATTTCAGTGGTGAAGACGATGCCTTGAAGTCCCAAGAAGGAGAGGGCCACCCAGAGAGGGGCTCTCTCTTGTTGCAAGGGTTAGACACTTGAGATATTTTGGAGAGCTTAGACAGCCATTGTTAGGGTTTGAGTTCTAGGGTTAGGGTTTGATACACCTTATCTCTCTCTTTTTCCCTCTTGTGTGTGTTTTAGTGTGTTTAGTCCATACTATTGCACACAAACACCTAGTGTTTCACCTTCACTTAGCTACTGAGGTTCTAAGGGACTGATTTTGAAGTTTTGGTGTTGGATTCAAGCCAAGGAGGGCCATTGGAGCACCATTTCTGAAGGGGTCTTCAAGGGTGAGAATCTAGTCCCATTATTCCCCATTTTTGCATTGATTTTCTACCTACCTTAGAGCTATTTTCGTGCTTATTGTATAACACAAAAAAGTTCTATTTTTTTAGTCCTCTTGATTGTTTATTAAGGGTGTTTTGTGGTTTGAGGGTGTTTGACCCCTCTTAGGCCTTGAAAGGCCTCATTTTGTGCTATTTTGTGCTAGTTTCGGGACTTTGGTGTTTGGGCCTCTTCACCACTGAAATCTTGAGGGATTTCAGTGGTGGAGATGGTGCCTTGAAGTCTCCAAAAGGAGAGGGCCACCCCCTCTCCTTGTTGTCCTTGAAAAGGGCATGTTTTGGCCTCTGAATGGAGCCTATGTTTGAGTGTGTGTTGAGCATGTATAGACTGTTTTTCATGCTTATATTTCCATAATATAACATGATTTTAAATTGGTTTTGGTACTCCATGCATGCTTAGCATAGTTGCCATGTAATGCCTTGTAATCCCTTAACATGTCTTAGGTTGTGTACCTTTGTTTCTAGCATGTTTTAGGCTTACATTTGTGAAGATTTTGTGCTTATCTTGACATGTTTTAGGTCTGTCCATAAGTATTTGGATTGATTTTGGCATGCTTAGTATAGCTCCTTTGTATTTGGGCTTGTTGGCCTCAAGTATGTGAGTGTGTAGCATGCCATTTTTGCATTGATTTGGTGTTTTGGAATCATCCACCATGTCATTTCAGTCCTATTTGCATGCCTATATGTTTACCTTGGATGCATCTTTAATGCCTCATAAGCTTGTGTAGCAATGCTCCTTGTTTTGGCACTTGTGCATGCCTTTGAATTTTGAGTCACTTAGATGCCATCTAAGTGATCCTTAGGCCTTGTCTTAATGTGTTAAAACTCTGTTTTTGGTCAATAAGTTCATGCCATGTTTGGTCTTGCTAAGTGTAGTTCAATACTCCATGGGTTTGCTTTGAGCACTTAGGCCATTAGTTGCATGTTTGGCTTGATTTATTGCTTGGTGTGGCACCATTTACAACATGATTTTCAGAGCTTATGTTGCATGCTAATTAGCCCATGCTATCCTTTTTCAAGTGTGCTTGAGAGTCCCTCTTTTGTGCCTAAGTGTTGGCCCTTAATAATGTGCATGTGTGCATGTGTTTTGGTCCTTTATTTTAGTCATTTTGGCCACTGTTTTGGGTCTATTTAGAGCTGCCCAAATCATGTTTAGGACCACCTTTGCATCCATTAGCATTGCCTCATGTTTGCTTGTATGCTTGCGTAAGTGCCTCGCCATGCCATGTTACATCCTTAGCTTGTATGTCTAGGTTGCATTGCATCTTGCATGCATGCCTTATTCCTTGACTTGATGATAGGAATTGGGCCTTAGTTTGTTTGATTGGCTTGCATTTCATTTGACATGAAAATTGCATACTTGACTATAGACTGAAATGACATGGTGATGATTCCAAAACACAAATCAATGCAAAAAAATGGCATGCTACACACCACATACTTGAGCCAACCAAGCCCATAATACAAAGAGCTATACTAAGCATGCCAAAATTCAATCCAAATACTTATGGACAGACCTAAAACATGGTCCAAGATAAGCACAAAACTTCACAATAATGTAAGCCTAAAACATGCTAAAACAAAGGAGCACAACCTAAGACATTTTAAGGCTAAAGCAACATGGCAACTATGCTAAGCATGCATGAGTACCGAAAACCAATTAAAAATATGTATATATTATGAAAATATAAGCATGAAAAAACAGATCTAACATGCTCACACACACTAAAGATTAGGCTCTCTTCAGAGGCCAAAACAACATGCCCTTTTTCAAGGGCCAACAAGGAGAGGGTGCCGCTCTCCTTATTGGAGACTTCAGCCACCATCTCCACCACTGAAAGCCCTCAAAGATTTAGTGAGTGAAGAGGCGCCCCAAAAAACCAAAGTCCCGAAACTAGCACAAAGAATAGCACAAAATGAGGCCCTTTCAAGGCCTAAGAGGTCAAACACCCTTCACAAAAAAAACCACAAAAACACCCTTAATAAACAATCAAAGGACTTAAAAAAAATAGAACTTTTTGGTTTATACAAAAGCCGGAAAATAGCTCTAAGGTAGGTAGGAAAACAATGGCAAAAATGTGGGAATAATGGGACTAGAGTTTCTGCACCCTGGAAGACCCCTTCCACAAAGGTGCTCCAATGGCCCTCCTTGGCTTGAATCCAACACCAAACACTTCAAAAATCACCCTTAGACCTCAGTTCAAGAGGAAGGTGAACATAGGTGGCTTGTTGTCAATATATGACTAAAACACACACAAGATAATATAGAGGAATAGGATGTGTATGTTAACTCAAACCCTAAAACCAGAGCTTTGTCGTTTTTCGTATCCCCTTAAAATGTCTAACTCTCTAACCCTAGCAACAAGAGAGCAGCCCCTCTCTATATAGAAGCTTTTGTCTTGTAAAGTTACAAGACAAGCTGCATAAGAGGAGAATCCCTCCATACACGTGTATGGAGGTGAGCAAAAAGCAAGACAGGCTTCTTAAAATTATCTGCAGAAGCAAGAATGAACAGTAGTCGCCGCAAAAATGCTATCTTCGGCCAAATAGCCGGGGGGGAAAAACCGGGGGGCCACTAAATAGTGGCTGACCAGCCAACAAATAGTGCCGACCGGCAATAAAAAGTGCGATGGAAGGCAAAACCAGCCGGTGGCCTTAGCACTGCGTGGTGGATGGGATGGTCTTACAAGCCATACCCTGCCTCTCAAAGGCAAGATGTAGTGTTTGGTGCAAAAACCAGAACAAACGGTGATTACGGAGATGCCTAAGGCAAGGGGCGTAAGCCGAGGACCTCCCGGGAACTCCAAACGAACACAAACAGGAATGATCCCACCGAGTGTTCAAACGTGATGTCCAAGTTCTTGAGGACGGTCAAAAATGGGCTGCTACAACTGCCCATTTTCTTTCTAAATTCTCTCAAGGACAGAAACATAAGCACCAAAGGGGAAAGTATTAGAAGGCAATAACCATAATCAATAACAAAGAGTTCATTGATTAAGTCAGCGCTTCCGTTTAACCCACCCATTCATCAAGTGGATCAGTATGTCATTTTGTCTTGATTCTTGAAATACCACATGGTAAAATAACCAAGTGAAAGGATTTATGTTCTGACAATTATGTTGACCAATTGGATATCAGAGCATGCAATACTCATGTGTGCTTATCCGAATTGAATGCCTTATTCCCATTC